TTGAGTCCGGGGAAAGGGCATAGGTCAGTTTTTATTTAAAAATCACCTTTTGTATGATGAAACTTTTTTTGCACGCTGAGTAAATCGGACGGACCACGCATCTGGAGTGAAACTTCTTTTCTATAAGTATATATATATACATTGTGTTTTTTTTTTCAAATTTCATGAGTTTGATTTCCAGTTATAGCAGCCGATTTTGAATAAATATGAATGCAGTTCTACTTGTTATTAAAAGTAAAATGATATCTATCTATCTATAGGTATGTTCGCTCGCGATTTCTGTTTCATCTTTTCCATACAATTTGTCTATTATTATCACGGCCGAAAAAAGTTTCACTTTAAAAAAAAACTCATCAGAACTTAGTCCTTTTTACCCGGCTGCGCAATGCTAGAGCGCGAAGCGCGACGCGCAGACAGGGTTATGTGTTTAACAGTCTATATACATATGTATGTTTGTTCTTTTGTGGCACACTAGAGACCAAACGCCTGGACCGATTTTGATGATTCATACATCAATCGATTCGTCTCAATCATGGGAGTGCTACTAAAGATATGATAGTAATCAAAATTCAATATGGGCAAAATTAGGCGCCATATTGTGACGAAGTAAATAAAAAAAGAGTACAAAATATTTCGAGTGGGGTATCACTGTCTAGATAATCAAAATCATATTTAGGTTTCTAACACCATTTTTCATTTTATATGATTGTTTAGGATCTACAACACTTTAAAGTTGTATATTAACCACTTACGCTTTTAATTTCAATCTTACGTTTGTATGGATCTTTGTTACTCTTTCACCTAAAAAGACTGAAGGGATTTTAATGAAACTGAATAGTTATATAGCTCATATATGATAATTACATATATATATATATAATAATTTATGTAGTTATTCAGTGAATTGGCCAATATATAGCAGAAGTGTCACATAAGACGGAAAAAAATGTCCCATCTGCGAGCCATTTTGGCCTGCACTGCAAAAGCAATAAAAGTTACATGAATGTAATGTAGAGTGAAAATGTATCTCTTAACTAGTTCTAAAAAAAAGTCCGTGACACCATATATCTATTTTTAATGTGTAAGTCATTACCGCTAAAATAGTGAATCAAAACTAAAATATTATTTGATATCTATTTCCAAAATGCACATTTTGTATGAACAAATCATTTTTTATCAAAACAAATACTTTAATCGCTTTTGATATTTAAAGACGATAAACTTTGCTTTTTACACTATGTCATTTTGACAAATATTTAAAAAGTTACAACGATGACAAAGTGATAGCGCGGTGTACTATGTAAAAGAAAAAAAAATGGGGTATTCGCAGTATCTGATCCTATACGAATTACTAACAATAAAACTGTGATACAGTTCCTTCTTATTAAATGATGAAAAATATTTATCATATTAGGTATTTATGATTATTATATTTTAATGAAAAACTCAGAATTTTACTGTTTTTCATTTTTTTAACGATATTAATTAATGTTACAAAAAAGGTTTACTTAATATTACTAATATTACAAATAACCCATTTTTCGCTAGTAAGTACATACTTATTGGAATCCCTGTATTTATTAATCAGCTCGCGATAATATTGGTTTTGTAATAATTCTGCAAAATTCAAAGTAAATAATGTAGATTTTTATAGGTAAATCACCCCTTTCATCACCCTACGCCTATATGTATTGCGATGTTGTAGCTAAGAACCAAGTTCCCATCTACTTCTTTATGGGAATTCATTATATTCGATTTAGCTATTAGGGCACGGAAGCGCAACAAACACACTTTCGCATCTATAATATTATATTATACTTACTAGTGATCCACCCGGGCATTGTACGGGCGAAATTTATTTATCGGGATAAAATATAGCCTATGTCACTCGGACAAAATGTATTTAAATAAAGAAAAATGTTATAATAAATAATGTAGCTACCTTATGATGAATTAATATTTGAAACCGGTTCAGTAGTTTGACAGATTATTTGTTACAAACATATAAATCTTGCCTCTTTATAATATTAGTATAGATAGTTAGGATAAGATAAGTATTTAATTGATGAAAAAGATTTAAAAATAAAGTAAGTTATAGGTTTATTTGATGTTTATTTGATTTGTAAAAGTTACTTAGCATTTGTGCTTAACAGTAATACGTTATTCGGTATTTTTATAACAAAAAAAAAATTTGGAAAATAATTGCCATGATTGCACTACTGGGAATACTCTTCATTCGAGCTTTACACTACCAATAAAAAACGGTCGAACACAAAGTCTTTGACCTGTTAAATGTGAACGCTTTAAAAGAAAACTACAAAGAGAACTATAAATTGATAATAAATGAGATTGCTATGGTGCTCTACCTAACGTTATGAAAATTTTATTATGCGCCTTTAGTTTAATCAAATATTATAAACTTTGCTTTGATTATTGCATAATTATTTAATTTAGTGATCTAAGGCAATTGCCACCGTTGTCCAAAACAACAGACGGGAATTACTTCTTTCTTCAACCTGCGACATAAACGTCATTGATTGGTATTGTATATAGGGTGATTAAAAACATTTGAAGTTAACTTCTGGCATCTACATATTGGGTTTCTGTGAATTATGTAGGTATATCAAATTATGAGACTAGGATATGACACTGCATTTGTGTATATCACAATCTTAGACGTCCGGCATTGACATGACAATGCAGCCACTGCCAATTTTGAATAGTCGACGAATAAAAGTAAATGAATTTTATATTTACTGCTAAGCTATTAAAAAAAAAACATAAACAAAAGATGACTTTTTGAGTAAGTGCTAGTTTACTATAAAATTTACATACATTAGAGATATTTATGTAACGACTTGATTTAACTTCACACGTTTTTGCGAAAATTGAGGCCCATCTGTAGCCTTCACCCCGCTGGTAAAGTCTTTATATGTCTTAATAAATCAATCTTTTAGACCGACGCAAGGTACTTAATAATTCCATTGATAATTCCCTTACTGAAGTAACAAGACTACGGTTTAAACCGTTTTAAAACACTAACTAAAAAGTGTGAAATAAAAAAGGTAAATTTAAAAAATCAAAAAACCCGACTGCTTAATTATTCTTCAAATAAAAACTGAAAAGAAAAAAACAAGTCCAGTAGTCTATAATTCTGTTAATAAGGAACAAAGCTACTTTAACAGTCGGGACCCACTGTTGAAAAATATTATGTATTCTTGAATATCTAATGGGTCCCGACTGTTAAAGTAGCTTTGTTCCTTATTAAAAGAATTATAGACTACTGGACTTGTTTTTTTCTTTTCAGTTTTTATTTGAAGAATAATTAAGCAGTCGGGTTTTTTGATTTTTTAAATTTACCTTTTTTTTTTAAAATAGCGACGTCACATTATTTCGGTTAATGCTCGCTCAATTCGCTTTTGCCCTTACTACTCTGTGTACCCAGTCCTATAATGTAGACACGTGTGAGTACACGCTGCTTTATAATATGTATTATTAAATAAGTAAGTATAGATACTGTCACAAACGCTCTCGAAACGGAACCGCGAAAGTGCTAGGTAGAGATCGAATGTGCCAGAGCTTGAGTATATGTCTTCTGTGTGCCAGAGCACGGCGGGTCGCGATAGAGGTCGAGTAATGCGGCTCATCCTAAAATGAGCCTTATGCAGTGCGGCGCAAGGGAGAAAGTGCAACGACATCTGCGCTTGTTTACAAGTTATGTGCGTTACCTGCGTAGGTATAAGTAGGTACTTCGTACTCGCGGGTGCTAGCCAACTCTTAATTTAACAGGTACTTTTAGTACAGTCAATCTGTCGAAAAAAAATCGTTTCAGTGAAAAAAAAAACCTAAAGGGTAAGTCTTGTTTTTTCTGTTGCCAAATGACGTCAGTAAGCCACCTTGGCGATGGGCATGTTCAACTCGTAGGCGTTTTTTGAAAAACTCAAAAAAACCCTCAAAAAATTTTTGAAACGCATTTTTCTTGTTTTGTATGCATTTTAGAAACTTTTTTTTCGACCTTAATTGTAGAGGACGTTGAGTACTACAATTTATGTCATTGTTGCAATCTCGTACACTAAAAAATGCGCATTGTAGGTGGCGCTAAAGTCTCAAAAAAGTGTTTTTTCACTTTTTCATTCTGAAAATATCATTTTAATGGAAAACTTTAAATGGAAAAGTTGTTCCGTACATAATTTTTCATTGAAATGTGCACTGCAAATGTGTACTTGAACTGCCCAAAACCGCTCTATTGGATTTTTCATACCTGCGCAATTTATAACTTGAAAACGGTAAGTAATACAAAAAAATTGTTTAGACAAAAGTTGTTGGTAATTATGTACGAAACAACTTTTCCATTTAAAGTTTTCCATTAAAATGATATTTTCAGGATGAAAAAGTGAAAAAACACTTTTTTGAGACTTTAGCGCCACCTACAATGCGCATTTTTTGTTGTACGAGATTGTAACAATGACATAAATTGTAGTAATCAACGCCCTCTACAATTGCGGTCGAAAAAAAAGTTTCTAAAATGCATACAAAACAAGAAAAATGCGTTTCAAAAAATTTTTGGGGGTTTTTTCGAGTTTTTCAAAAAACGCCTACGAGTTGAACATGCCCATCGCCAAGGTGGCTTACTGACGTCATTTGGCATCAGAAAAAACAAGACTTACCCTTTAGGTTTTTTTTTCACCACTCAACCTACAGATTGACTGTACTATTTCTAGAATGCGTCGATTGGCGTTTATAAGCGCGATTGGCGCCGCGCATTGAGTTTTAACAGCGATTTCGGAGCGGATCCAAAGGCGATCAAAGTGCTACAAAAGTGTTCAGTGCGATGCGATTGTTTAGACTTGTATATACAGTGTTTAGTGAGTGTTTTGTAATTAACAATGTGTGTCAATTGTGTGAATTGTGTGGTGAATAATGAACTGTCAAGCGTGAACTGGCATATAATTTCGAACCCCATCCTGACACGTAACAATATAAATAAATAACAATAACAAACACATCAGAACTTTGTCCATTTATTATAAAAATAACGACGTAATTTTAAAAGGTTTCGTTTAAAGGCGTGTAGTATGAAGTGTCAAATCCCTCTGCTTGTACAACTCGGTCTACCCAACTCCTCAGAGCAGCCACATCTGAGTACATGCCGGGTAAGCCCTCGCGACCGCACCCCAGACCCCAGGACACTATGCCAGCTTGGTAGTAGCGGCCTTCCACTCCCTGGCAGACAGAAAAAAACATCATCATCATCATCAGCCTATTAATGTCCCCACTGCTGGTGCACAGGCATTTCCTGTGGGTGGAGTAGGGAGATTATGCCATGACCCATCACGCAGGCCCAGTGCGGATTGATGGGTGCATACGATTGCAGATGCAGCCGGGACCAACGGCTTAATGTGCCTTCCGAAGCACGGAGGAGCTCGAGATAGTAATTTTTTGGTCACCCATTAAATGACCGGCCATTGCGAAAGTGGCTTAACTTCGACGATCGCAGCGGAAAGCGCTAACCACTTACGCCATCTAGCTCCTGATTTTATTAGGGGGACGCAATTCACCTAGAATTCACAAACGAGGGGGACCCCCGTCCCACTTGCAGGTCCGCAGCTCTTGGTAATAGCAAGATTTTTACTCCATGAAGCCCACTAGTCCGAAGTCTCATCTTAGACTTGCTTCTGATGTCATTCTGTTAGGGGAACACAACGTACCGGGTATTTACAAACGAGGGGGAGCCACCAAACACCACACCATCTCTTTTGCTTAACATGCTTTCCGAAGTACGAAGAAGCATGAGATAACATTTTTTTGTCTCCCATCCAATGTGTCATGCGGTATGCCTTTAAGGAGAATACAACTCACCGGGTATTCACAAACAAGCGGAGAACCCCCGTCCCCCTTGCAGGTATCCTCATCCTTTACGCCGCCCATGCACATGATCGTCTCATGCAGCTCGAACCTGGGCCGTAGCTCTTGTCGGAGGCGAGCCTGGCACACGTCGTGTGCAATGTACGGCACTGAAACCTGGGACGCAGGAAAAATATGTAATACTGTCAATGAAGTTCATATGGCTATTGGTATTTGTAAATTTGGCAGCAGTATTTCATTAAACGGATTCGCTTAGGTAGGTAGGCCTTGGGACATGCTGAACACCCTCAAGGGTTTTCGCAGGGTTTGTTAGCGTATAGTATGGGTTGCTTTAACGGGTTTTCCGTTATCGCGCCCATAAGACATGCGAGATTCAAGGTGAGAGGTACTTTCGTTGGTGTACCCCTTAAGAGCGTTGGTTTCTGTAGACAAGGTAAAAAAAGTTATGCAGAATGTTCAAGACCAAAACGTTAGACTGTTACTTACATCTATTTGGGCCAATCGATCAACTTGGATAGTCAAATCAAACCACAGAGATTGAACGTCATATAGCTCAAGTCTGGACAGCCTTTGACGCCAACAGTCATACTAGTGAGCCCAAATCGGGTATTTTTGGAATTACTCTAGCCCGGCAGAATAACAAAGAACCCCCCAGTATCTCCTTTACCAAAAGTCATGGCCGTTATTTTTGCTGCCCTAGACGCTCGACCCTAGATGGAGTGCTCCCCTACTATTAAGGCCAACTGGATTTATTAAGTTGTATGGTTGGGAATTATTTAGTAACAGGCTAACCAGAGGGCCAAGCATCGTCAAATTTTGTATGAAGGCCAGTTTGTTTTTTACGTCCGGTTCTTCTTTTTTTTTATATCTGAGTTTTTCGCTAGTGTAAAATAGTGCGCAATAGAAGTAAAATGATAAAAAAAGCTGGGTTTGAGTGTTAACGGCGTCGGGCGAGTGACCTGCGCTTCGGCGGTCCGTGCATTAGGGCGGGCGACGTGCAGGTCAGTGGCCCTCCACCAGCACGGTCGACCACCAGCTATAACGTGCTGGTGGTGGACAAGAGATAGAGAGAGAACAGGTAAAAGAAGAGAGTGCCCTTCTTGCCAGAGAGAGGCAATATGGGCCAAGAGAGGAAGGAAGATAGAGTAGTTCGTCCGGTATGGTTGCTCTTTAGTTTTCATGGAAACTTTGACGATGCGATTTATAATTATGTAGCTGTTAAAGTTTGTGCATGGGCAGGACCGGATTAAGAGGTGTAAAGGCTAAAGGACAACAAAGGAGTGGGGGGCCCCTATTTTAAAATATGGCACCTAGGGTCACTTACTTTTTAACTCAACTCAGTGTAAACAAATTCTATAATCTAAAGATATTTCTAAGCATTGTAGATGTGGTTGATTACCATTAGCTTCTCTATTTCTTTTCCTCAGGCACGGTGGAGTGACGATTTGCGCAAGGTGGCTGGCAGGAGCTGGATGCGAGTAGCCCAAAATCGATCTGAGTGGCGTGCAATTGGAGAGGCCTATGTCCAGCAGTGGACTAGGATAGGCTGCTGATGATGATGATGATTTATTTTGCGTATACTGTGCCTATAAACTGCGATAACCAAGTAACGAACGTTGACGCGTCTCAAACATACCTAGTCACTGATAGAACGATGGAACCACCCTGCCGCAAGACAATTTTATTATTTTAGGAGGAGGTTAGTTTGACATTGTTTTGTCAATGATACGTGTTATCAATTAAAACTTACCAATGATGTCGATTCGGGCATGATTCTCTAGCTAAACTTAAATTTGACAACAGTGCATCCTTATCCTTCTCTATACAGAATGAAAAGGTAAAACTGACCTTAAATTTAGTTTTATGTTTAGAGAATCACGCCAGAATTGACACCAATATCAACTTAAATATAGATGTAGAAGTTAACAGTTTAATTGGCTTGCATCCACTTGATGTTATATAAGGCAGTGTCTTGTTTTTTTTTAATGAAATGTGTGTACTTACTTTTTAACTCTGTTCTGGGGTCCCCTAGGCCATAGCCCCTCTTGCTGTCCCTTAAATCTGGCCCTGTGCTCATGCAGGTGCTAGGTTCAGAAGTACACGAAAATCTCACCTGTTTGGCTATATTCTGCATGGTGCCGTTGACATATTTATCCACCCCCCATCCGGTCGCGATGCACTGTGTACCAATGGCTGGTCTGAAGCTGGCTAATGGGAGACAGGCGAAGCCGATGTGTGCATCTAACTTGACCTCTTCCTTTAGCACCAATATGGCTATGTCGTTGAAATGACCACCTGTTGGATCGATATTGAAAAATATGTTCGTCATAGGTAGATTTTTTTAAGTTATTCATGACCATGGATACTGGTCCATCAGTTGTATACATAAATACAAAACTTAATCTTCTTTTTTTTTAAATTAGAATGTCGGTGTGACGCATTATGATGTTTCTTGGAGAGTTTGGCACGATATGTATCGAGTTGGTTATTTCGATAATCTTCTGTGAGGTAGTCAACACTACAATAAAGTCCACTTGACCTGATTAGCGTATATTTTAAAGAATCCATTAATTCTTCAGTTGCGCAGATGGTTGTAACACAAAATCACACCAATTTTGTTTCACAATAGCGCTAGCGCTGAAAAAAACGCGGCGGGGATAGCTGCGCATGGGTACGACTGGAGAGCCAATCGGCGCAACGCACGCCCACCCGCGCACCTCTTTTCCCCCCAAGACATCTTAATTTTTACTTCTGCGCAATAACGGTCTTTATAGTTAAGTTTCGTGCCGCGACTAATAAGCGAGGCGACAACCACCGAGCAGTCTGACGGCGCGGCGGTAAACCAATGTGAAGTAATTCAAAAAAGCAATACCTAAAGCCTTTGTTATATTTTTGGCGGCTAGGAGCTCAGTCGTGTAAGTGGGCTTAGATCTTTAACCTATCTTTAACTAGTATCTACCTGAATTGTAATTCTCGTGCACGATCTTCTTGGCCACCTCGATGGTCTGGTGTTCCCTGATCTCATATTCTCCGAGGATGTCCCATTCCCCCACTCTGACCACGTACCGGCCCTTCCGGATGAACTTGTTCGCGTACGTCAGCACCAGCCGCGGGTGTATCAGGGAGCCGCCGCAAATGTATTTCTCGACGTTGTTCTCGATTCTAAGGGAAGTAAGGACTTATTGAATACCTAAAAGTTCTTTAATCAAAACGGCGCGAAATGTTATCTTATATATTAAATTCTAATCACAATGTTAGTTACCATACTCCTCCGAAATGGCCTGACCGATTTTTATGAAATTTTATATGCATATTCCGTAGGTCTGAGAATCGGCTACTATCTATTTTTCATATCCTTAAGTGATAATGGTTGTCCACCTGTAATGTAGTGTTCTGAAACCTACTGTTGCTGGCAACACAAATTTTTATAATTTAAAAAAATATGTTGTTTTCCGTTTCCTTTTTACCATCTCTCTGCATAATTTCGTTCTTGTGCGATTATATGTGCTGTGTATATTTTATATCGTATATCGTATCGTATCTCTGCAACCGGTGGTTTTCCTCTGCAACCAGAAACTACAGTCCACTACTCCAAGAGCGCAACACTTACCATGCCCCTTCGTGCCAAAATTCAAACTATTGGGTATTGTAACGTAGTGTTCTCATATGGGTTATAGACCGGGAGATGATGACACAAAATACTTGGTCATTTGTACCAGTATGGCGGTTCTTCAGGGGTCTAATTACGTAAAGGCAAAAAGGAAAATGATGGTCATAGCGCTCGCACCGGCGGCCCAATCGCGTGGGCGTTAATCGAACGCGTCGGATAAATAACGAGTGTCAAACGATTTGTTCCACAAAAATGCTTATATTTTCAGATAGTCGAAAAAAAGAAGTAGGCGGTAGCGTAATGCCATACTTCTCGGGTGTGACTTACAGCCCGCCATACCGACGCGAATACATTAATTTAAATAAAACAATTCAACCATTTGTACCAGGCTAATTTTTGCACAGCTAATCATCGTCGAGTAGCCATTCACGAAAATCACCTTGCCATACTTTTCCGACAGTTCCCAATGGCCGCCATACCGCTGCAAAGGAGTAATTTTTTTTTTCGCCAAACGATTTGTACCAGTATTGCATTTGAATTTTTGGAAAGTATTTGGCAAAATGTGACCGTTATTATTTTTCCCATACTTCTAGTAGGGGGAAAAAGTGCTGCCATACTTGAAATACTTATTTATTTGACACGTTTTAAAAATACGACTGCAAAATACGTAAAATCATTTTTTACATCATGACATCATTGTATTCTCGTCATTTGGATGCAATTGTACGTAAAAAAAAATATTACAGATTGTAAACATGGGGCGGATGACTGTCGGACTTGAGCTAAAAGGTGAAAAAGAAAAAAAAAATTTGACGATTTGTACCAGTATGGCATTTGGATTTTTGGAAATTATACGATACAATGTGACCATTATTATATTTGCCATACTTGTAGTAGAGGGAAAAAGTGGCGCCATACTGGTACAAATCGTTCGAATTACGAATAAAATCTTGGGACTTTGAAAAAATATTGTTCACATTCGCCACCTCCCACAGGTATGGCATTATCAGACTTCTATTTATGATCATACGGGGAACTGTTAAAAAAAGTTTCAGGGTGGTACAAATCGTTTGGCGAAAAAAAAAAATTACTCCTTTGCAGCGGTATGGCGGCCATTGGGAACTGTCGGAAAAGTATGGCAAGGTGATTTTGGTGAATGGCTACTCGACGATGATTAGCTGTGCAAAAATTAGCCTGGTACAAATGGTTGAATTGTTTTATTTAAATTAATGTATTCGCGTCGGTATGGCGGGCTGTAAGTCACACCCGAAAAGTATGGCATTACGCTACCGCCTACTTCTTTTTTTCGACTATCTGAAAATATAAGCATTTTTGTGGAACAAATCGTTCGACACTCGTTATTTATCCGACGCGTTCGATTAACGCCCACGCGATTGGGCCGCCGGTGCGAGCGCTATGACCATCATTTTCCTTTTTGCCTTTACGTAATTAGACCTCTGAAGAACCGCCATACTGGTACAAATGACCAAGTATTTTGTGTCATCATCTCCCGGTCTATTAGGAGGAATGTTATCCCAGGAAATTGCTAGAACACTACGTTACACACCCCTAAAATTTTTTTTACACTATTTTTTTTTTATAATGTGGTATTAAAAAATTCATACAACCCTAAATTTTCTCTTCTACCACCTGGCCCTATTTTTATGGCGGTACGAAGTTCGCTAGGTCAGCTAGTAGTAATATAAGTTATTAACTTGTTTATTACCTTATTTTTAGCGATTTTTCGATATTTCGGCACTGTTCGTAATACACACATCAAAAGTGTCTAGGGATCAAGCATTTTTATGCGGATTTCTTGAGATTGAGATGTGGCTTTGTAATAAATTTATGATTTTATAAATTTATATGGATCCTTTTTGGTGCATTTCATAATTTGAATCAGGAACTGTGAATCAAATTCGAGTAAAAGATGAAAATCAGCTGTCAATATTTTCCCTATAAAAACATACAACGCATTGAAGACATTATTAGTGCTACTGTTTCCCTACTACTGATTAAAACCAACGTTATTATGGAGCGGCGACGTCATTTAAGCAGGGAAGAAATGCTCAGAGCCGTGGGAATGATAGAAGCTGGTTCCCGGCAACGTACTGTGGCTTTAGCTCTGAATACAAGTCAGAGTGTTATCAGTCGACTTTGGACACGATACCGAAGCACTGGTACCGTGGCTGAGCGCCATGGAGGACGGTATCGCTGCACCACACGGAGACAAGACCGATACATTCAAATCTTAACTCGAAGAGCTCCAACAATAACCGCCATGATGTTAGCCGTGAGGCTTCATCACTCTTCAGGGAACTTAATTAGCGACCAAACAGTCAGAAACCGCTTGCATGAAGTGAACCTTCATTCCCGAAGACCGCTACGGGTACCACCTATAGCAATGCACAATCGTAGGATTCGATATCAATGGGCTCTTGAACACAGAAATTGGGCAGAAGAACAATGGCGTTTCGTGTGCTTTTCTGATGAGTCTCGTTTTGGTATGAGACCGGATACAAGACGTATACGACACTGGAGAACCCCTGGACGCCAACAGCGATTAAAATCCTGCCAGGAAGTCCATCCTTATAGTGGTGGAACTTCCTTATGGTATGGGCGGGTATTTGGATCGGCGGAAGAACTGAGTTGATTTGGATCAGAGGCAACCTCAACGCTCAAATTTATGCTGAGACGATTGTATCAGACGTCATCGTTCCTCTACAAGTGCAAATCGGTCCCTTATTTCAGTTAATGCATGATAATGCACGACCGCACACCGCAAGAGTTGTAAGACAGACTCTCGCCGCAGCTAACATCAATGTCCTGCCCTGGCCTGCTCAGTCGCCAGACTTGAACCCGATTGAGCATGCATGGGATATGCTACAGAGAAGAGCTCTGCCGAATATGGAGGGTATCCAGTCGCAAGAAGACCTTTTTAGGGTTCCGTACCTCAAAAGGAAAAACGGAACCCTTATAGGATCACTTTGTTGTCCGTCTGTCCGTCCGTCCGTCTCTCAAGACCCTTTTTCTCAGGAACGCGTGGAGGTATGAAGCTGAAATTTATATCAATTACTCATGTCTACTGTCCCTTGAAGCTGTGAAAAAATCAAACTTCTAAGCCAACGCAATCAAAAGATACAGCCGTTTATGCCGCAAATTTTCGACACTTGCAAGGGAATCAAAACCTACAGGGTGCTTCCCGTGAACTCAGAATCTTGAAATTTGGTACCAAGCAACATCTTATAGCATAGATAAAGGAAAAATTACGAAAACCATAAATTTTTAGTTACATCACATAATATATATTTTTTTAATAATTTTAACCTTACTACCCATTTCCTCATAAACGCGTAGAGGCATTAAATTGAAATTCATACCAAATACTCAGGTCTATAATACCTTTAAGCTGTAACAAAATCAAACTTCTATGTCAACGCAATCAAAAGAAACAGCAATTTAAGCTGCATATTTTGAAACTCGCAAGTACTCGCAAGGGAATCAAAACCTAAAGGGTACTTCCAGTCGACCTAGAATCTTGAAATTTGGCATGAAGCAACGTTTTATAGCACACATAAAGGAAAAATTCCGAAAACCTTAAATTTTTAGTTACATTACAAAATATATATTTTTTAATAAATATAAACTTATTACTTCTTTTTCAGTCACCATTTACAGGTCTGGTTCAAATTTAATACTTAATTAATATTTTTGAACCAGATTTCTAAATAGTGACTAAAAAACTTAGTAAATAAATAACTTTAATAAAAGAACTTTCGCAAGTCTGCTGCAAGGCTAGTATAAGTGTTTCAGTTATATTATAGATAAATGATATGTGTTAATATAAAATAAAGGATTACTTAAACGATAAAGAGATCTTTGTCTTAAATTTATGCTCCTCCATCTTTCCCCATTGTAATGTTATGAATTTCATTTTGCAATAAAAATACCATAGTTATGACTAGATTGTCGTAATGAACGAACTTTGTAAACCTTGCAGGTTTGTACGGAACCCTCGGTGCGCGAGTCCGACTCGCACTTGGCCGGTTTTTTTTTGTTGTTGCAACGAACATGGGCGGCCATTCCACAGCGTGATTTGGATGAACTCATTTTGAGTATGCCAAACCGATGTTCTTGTGTTGTTAGTGTTCGCGGTAGAAATACGGATTATTAATTGTTTAAGTTACCCAATAAAATTTTAGAGAAAACTGTTATTTCAGTCTTTTTTTCGAACTTTTGTGTTAGTGGTTCAAATGTCAAAAATCCCTTTATTAGGAAAATGGCAAATTTCTTTATTAATGCAAAGGTGACTTGGTTTATCGTTACTGTGACAAACGAAAACACTTTATTTGATGAATCCTTAAAGAAAATTTTAATTAATATCAATCAGGAGAAAAGTTATTGCAAAAATATATGTTGATCCCTAGACACTTTTGATGTGTGTAGTTTTACACTCGCGTTTCGCTGAATACTCGCGGAACCACGAATGTCTGGTCGTGGTTTTATCCTAACACATGTCGAAATCATGACACATCAGGGCCGTGGTAGCATAATGGTCAGTGCATTCGCCCGGATAACGAAGGGTTCGGGTTCGAGTCCCGTCTGCTGGTCCATTTTAATTTTTTTTATAGTAAAATATTCTTTAGATTTAAACATCTAGCAGTTAAATGCTTAAAATTAATAATATGACTATGATTGCTATTGCTTCTTTCAGATGTTTAATGCGTGTAAAGGTATACATTTGTCATTGTGGGTTCTACAATGCGAAGAGATGGTGCTGCCTTGCAGCCTAAGTCTAGAGAAAATTCGACACGGCCATCAGAGTCCGGATAGCGAAAGGTTCGAGTCCCGTCTTCTGTCTGGTACGCGTGGAATTTTTCTAGTAAAATTTTCTTTACATAGGATACTCTTTTATCCCGGATAAATGGTGGGTTTTTGTGGTATTCACAAAAACTGAAGCTAACACGAATGGCTTAAACTCTACTTACTATTACTTACTTAAATATTGGCAGTGCCCATGGAAACTCTCCAAAGTTGACTTGGCTTTCGCCCCCTAATACGCGTGGTCCGTAACCGTCCTCATTTCTCCATCCGCAGCCCTACAAATGAAGTTAAGGTTACATACTTGCTTTCAATATAACCACCTCTGGGACTGACAAATAAATGAAATAAAATAAAGAAAACACAAACCAAATAACCCAGACCACTGTAATAATATGACTAAAACAGAGTAATAAAAAAAAATATATATAACCACCTATTCATATTAGGCCCGCAAATTACCGCAAGCATTGAGGACATTTGAGGTCCAAGCAAGATTTTTTGACAGCTATAACGTAAACATCGGCAAGTTTCAGAGGTAAAAATAAACTAGCATTTTTCATACAAAAGGACATTGTTCTGCGTCCATACATAGTTAGCCTAAGAACCAACGATCATGAAATATCATTTTCTAGGTTCGAAGTCGCAAGTAAATGACTGTAAAAACAAAGATTATTGACGGACACTTCTGAAAACTTAAATTATTAGGAAAACTAAAATTTGTTTGAGGTTATGTTTAATATTCAATGAAACATAGGTCAACATATGAACTTAGTATGAATTCAGTATGAAATGAATTAATATTACAACTAATTCATTTTATTCGGTGCGATTTTAAGAAATAACTATTAGGAAAAACTTGGTTAGGGGGGAATCATGAATAAAATAAAAACTGTAGTTTTGCTTCTTATTATTTATCGACTGTTTTTCACATAATTGCATCATATTGTATATTGTATTTATTTGTTTAACACATGTATATTGTGTAAATATGCAGCGTGAATGTGTATCAGGTGCTCTTAAATAATTTGGCAGTATGATCCTCTCAGGATGTGATGGCACAGGTTCACTAGCACTTGGTAATAAGGTATCTGCTCTTTGGCAACATCGATGGCATATTAGATAGCCGAAATAGTAATAGTTAAATTAAAAGAAAAACAATCGCAAATAAACACACACAACAGGTAATCCGAAACGAGAATTTCCCGTTTAAAAAAAGTAGTCTTTGACGATTGACGAGAATGCACGAATGCCACAGATTACTACGAATGCAAACTGCCTGCACCACAACCACAGAGTATCGAGTTTATGCCGGCCCTTCACTTGACAACAGTTTGTCCTTGTCATGCTTAATAAGGAACGAAAAGGACAGACTGATGTCATGTCTTTTAATAGCAAATACGAATAGCCAAGTGAAGTGCCGACATTAGGAAGAAAGACTGTTTTGTTTGCAGCGCTGTCACAGATTATACACATATAATGGTATTTATTGTCTCAGATTATTTATCAACTTTTGAATTTAGCTAACTTAACTGGAAGTGTCCGTCACAATCTAAATACTGATAATTATCGCAAAAAATATACTAAGAATTATCATAAATGCGAAATTGGTGTTGGTTCTTAGGCCAAATTTAACATTGTCCTTTGAAGACAATACGTTACGGTGCTGTCAAATATTCGTGTTTGGGCCTCTGCAGGCTATTGAAGATGAGTTTAAGGTACATTTTAGAGGTTTTTGCATAATAATTATTATAAATAAATAAATAAATATTTCCAACACTCACACCAATTAGCCTAGCCCCAAAGTAAGCACTGTAAGACTTGTGTTATGGGATGCTAGGGTAAAGGATAGAATGTCGTGGATGTGTTCTCACGAGTTCCCATGACCTTGTCCGGCAGCGACGCGTCCCTCCCCGACGTGTCCACTTCGTCAGACGACGATGAGGATGCGGCGGTGATGAGCGTGCTCGCGCCAAGGCGTATATGAGGGGCATCGGTGGGTTTTAGTCGGTAGGCCGCGGTACTGCACCTTTTGGGTGGCATTCTGTCTGCCCCCAGAAGCCGCGGAGAGTCCGACATAACCCCGCGTACCCCAAAGCGCGGGGTATGCGTAATGCATTTCCCATCGTAAAAAAAAAAAAAAAAAAGGGTAAAGGATAGAATACATATCTGTATATATATAAGTTTATTTATATGTATAGAAATACATTTTAAACATCCATGACTAGAGTACAAATGCTCGTATTCATCACACAAACATCTGCCTCCAGCGAGATTCGAACCCTCTCGAGTTGGCGACACCATGAAACCCGGCGTACAAACCACTCGGCCACGGAGATCGTCGAAATAATAGTACTTCTTTATACCTTATAATAATCTACCTTCATATTTGGTGGTTCGGTGATAATAGGTAAGTAAGTTGATGATTATTATAGAAAAAGAATTTTTAAATTATAGAAAAATAAATAAGAAGGACGAAGTGACTTTAGGTCAACTTGCAGCAATTTTGCTAATTCTCAATAATTACACAAGATATTATAGCCCATACAATGACGTCAAATTGCCATTGAGTTTTAAAATTATTCAGCAAATTTGCTATAAGTGGGCAGTGACAAACGCAATCGTTAAAATTGTACAATTATTGCTATCTTAACACAAATTCGTATTAAGGAACGTAGAGTTTGCGAATTGAAATTCAAATTCAATATCGTTTATTCAGTCAAGGCTGTTACAAGCACTTGTGAATGTCGAAAAGCTACGCCATCGGTTCGCAAATCTACGGCGGGAGACCTTGACTGAGAAGAACCGGCAAGAAACTCGGTGATTTCTCTACCGTAGCGCCACAAGCGAGCAATCGACGATCTAAAACCGCATGATAACAGTTGAACACAGTAACCGATATGGTTTATTTTGGTATTGAGCAACGTATTTTGACACTGAGCGACGTGAGAAAAATTACTAGCGATCGGTTTATTTTGGTATTGAGCAACGTATTTTGACACTGAGCGACGTGAGAAAAATTACTAGCGATCGCGATCTAAATGGTTTCGTCGTTTTTACTATATTTAACTATTGTTTTATGTTTGATTATTGTTATCTATTAATTGTGTAGTGTTATTTTAATTACGGCCAGTAATAATTGAGTATTTCAGTCAAACTATAAATAACTTAAAACTGCGGCACGACTTTTGATGTTATTGGGCCATTTAGATCAAGAAACCAGAGATGGGCTCTTAACACTGTTGAATGAATCGAAAACCAGTGATAGAAAGGCTCTTAGCGCTGTTGAATGAATCGTAAAACCAGTGATAGTTGTGCTCTTCGCGCTGTTGCATGAATCGAAAACCAGTGACAGATAGGCTCTTAGCGCTGTTGAATGAATCGAAAACCAGTGATAGATAGGCTCTTAGCGCTGTTGAATGAATCGAAAACCAGTGGTAGATAGGCTCTTAGCGCTGTTGAATGAATCGAAATCCAGTGATAGATAGGCTCTTAGCGCTGTTCCATGAATCGTAAAACCAGTGATAGTTGTGCTCTTAGCGCTGTTGAATGAATCGAAAACCAGTGATAGGTGGGCTCTTAGCGCTGTTGAATGAATCGAAAATCAGTGATAGACGGGCTTTAAGCGCTGTTGAATGAATCGAAAACCAGTGATAGATAGACTCTTAGCGCTGTTGAATGAATCGAAAACCAGTGATATATAGGCTCTTAGCAATGTTGAATGAATCGAAGTAAATTTTTAGCTCACCCAACTCAACACAAAATTGTGATGCCTACTTGAATACATAGAAACTTTAAAACACATACCTTTTTTTGTTAACTACTCATCTTATGTATACATGAGGTTAAGCGATTATAATGTAAGTATGAAATTTCTCGAGGGGCTCGATGGCGCAGGTGGTTAGCAAGTTCGACCTGCGATCGTAGAAGTTAAGTAATTTTCGCAATGGTCAGTTATTGGATGGGTGACCAAAAACTTATTATCTCAAGCAATGTGCTTCGGAAGGCACGTTAAGCTGTTGGTCACGGCTGCATCTGCAGTCGTTAGCAGCCACTAATCTGCACTGGGCCCGCGTGGTGGGTCATGGCCCAATCTCCCTATTCCATGCATAGGGAAGCCCTGTACCACAGCATTGTGGAGATTAATAGGATAATGTAATTCAATTCATCTTTCGGTTTCATTGGATATTTTTTTCCTTCAATATGTATATCTTTATTAAGTACAGTTTCGAACATTTAAAATTAATGAAGTTTTTGATTTTTTATGTTCTCGCAACATCGCACAGACTACATCAACGCAATCATAAAGTTGCCATGTTCAATTGCTAGTGGCGCTAGTTTCTAGACTGAGGCATGGTTCTATGCATTGTGCCATCGCGGCATGCCGCTGTGCTTGTAAAAGCAACCACCCGCAGTCGCTAGCCGCAGAGTCACCTGCGGTTGCAGTCTGCAGCAATCGCAGGCGATTAATTAGGGTATTTGACAAGTTTTAGAAAAACGATCTCACGTTATTTACTAATGTTTATAGAGTCCATAAAAAGTGGATATTCATCATTATGTTGTGTATTTCGGTAAAAAAACTAAATCAAAAAATTTATTTTCAAGTTGCCGCGAAAAACGTATCTCTGGACAATATGGCGTCACACGAGTGTCAATAAAACGTCAAGCCATACAATCTAATGTCACTTAAACCGGAACTTTAATTGCGTGTGACGTCATTTTAGGCTCCACCAATCCCAAGCGTTTTGGGTCACGTGACAAAAGACAAGAAAACTATTATCTTTATCGTGGGTTTTAAGTAAAATTATGAATATTTTTTCTATAAAATGCATATTGGCAGGAGTTTTTACTATACTCCTGCCAATATGCATTCTAAATACAGATGCTAACAATTGGCACTTTATTTTTAATACTGTCAAATACCCAATTCTCATACCTTCTTCTCGGACGTAGAAATTGAGGGTGCTTTGGCACTTGTGGTAGAGCGTGAGGTTGTGCTGGAGATTGCAGTGCTGGGGCTTGTGGTGCGAGAAGTCATTACGCAACATACTTGATTCGTAGGGCATTGGACGTTAAAACTCCTGTCAAAACAAAAATGGTGTTCACAATAGAAAGGAGACTGGTTGAAAGTGGCTTTAGAACGTATATACCGTTACCGTTGTGATATTTATGTAGGAGTATCTCAGTTCCACGGAAATTCAAAGGGGCATCAAAATTTTGGAGAAAAACTACACTTTACAATAAATATGCGTATTGTATTTTACTAGGTAGGTATTTATTTTGTATTATTATTAGGCATTTCTGACCGTTTTGCTTTCTGTGATGTACTTTTCAGCTAGATATAGTCACATAAAGTCTCAGAAAGGCATACTACAAAATATGCTGATTTTAGAGTGCTTAGCGCCTGCCTTTTTTATTGCCTTCGAAGGCAGACGAGCGGACGGGTCACCTGATGTTAAGTGGTTACCGTCGTCCATGGACATTGGCAATGCCAGTGACACAGCCATGCCGGTGCCTTTCGTGAAACACACTATTAAAGTCTCTCCTGAAGTGGATTATGTTAAAGTACAGAGGGAACACCGTGGAGAGGAGATCATTCCACAATTTTATTGTCCGTGGATAAAATTGTGGAATTGAATTTTATATCTCATGTGACGTTCTCTGGAACTATTCGTTTCCAGAGAACGTCACATGAGATATCAACACCTAGTATCCCAACGCTATTGAAATTATGCAGCAGGTATTATGGGTGTCATGCCGTATGGTTAGTTACCACTGTGCGCATGGTATAAAACCCGAGAAGTACTCCTCGAGGGTGTTTTTGGGTCAGTCAGCGTACAACCAGAGCTCAAGTGGGCGTTGCTTCGACAGATTCGGTCCAAGGGAGGCATTCTCCGAATCAATGCCGGGAGGAATGCATGAACCCGCCGGCCAGGAAGACCCCAGATACTTTACTTGGACGATGTAATTGTCACTAAAATGGATGAAATATTTTTTTTTAAATAAAAAATAAAACCGACTTTAAAATCGAAATTGGAATTAAAATGTAAAAAATAATATCTGGTTCATGATTTAGAAGTCGGGCGGGGTCAAGATTGAAACATTAAATAGATTTTCGTTTCTGATCGGTAATAATACGTCTTTCAATCTTGACCCGCCCGACTTCCACATCATGAACCAGATATATTTTTTACTTTTTAGTTCCAATTTCAATTTTGAAGTCGGTTTTATTTTTTGTTTGAGACAAACTATGAACAAATGTTCATACGAGTGGAGTAACAAATGTCTTTTTAAATTTGTTAATACGGGCTATCCCATTTGGCACAGACAACTAGACATTGTTGACAATCTCGATGCGACTGTTGACAACTTTCTACAGAAAGATTAAGTCGTGAAAATTTTCTTCTATCAGAAAGGGGATAAAGCTTGAAGAAACTAAGGCGTTTTTGGTAGCTACACCTATGATTACCTTGCGATATCTCGCGATTGAAATGCTATTATGTCTCGTGAAGGCCCGTTAAATACCTTTAACACTCTGAGAGTGTAAACTATAAAACGGACTCCAAATCGAACATACATAATCCAAGCAGCTTCGGATAGAACCATTAAATAAAACAATTATGGTTTTGGTCTTTAAACCTTACCCTTTCCATTACTTGAAGTACCCCTACATACCACAACGGTATCGGTATAGGTTCTTGGACGAACTCTAATACAAAGGACAATGGGCAAAACACACCCAGCTCCGCCAACAATGCCATTAGTATGAATCGATAAATCTATGAAAACCTAGCCTTTTTTATTATGACACCGTAAAAAAATATCCTGGTAGTCAAAAGATATGACACATGGGCGTATTTAAGTAACTAAATAAATTCATTTTATAGTACCTTCATTTTATATTATTAGTAACCATAATAATATGCCTTATCGTACTATACAACCAGGCCGAAACAAACCTGCCGACCATCCTGCGCTTGCACTTTCTGAGACACCTCAAAACGGTTTACGGGGGTTGAAGGACTTGCAGTTGCAAATAGTCGACTCGTCTTACTTCGTTGTGATTGTGCGCTTTCTGTCACTTAATTGATTTTTATCTAACACGCTTTGGACATTGGAACACGATTATCGGTTTTGTCATTTAGTATGGATAAACTGGAATCATGTTTTCTCCGAAGCGTGGACAAGTTTGTGTGATTTGTGATCGCTCTGTTTTACATAGAAGACAATTTACTATAACGAACAGAATGTTTGAACTCAACCCATGCGGGGATTTTTGGATTTACTCTAGCGCGGCAGAGTAACATAGGGGGCACCCTTGCACCTTGTGAAGTACTCCCAGAATACCCGAGCCGCCTATGTAGGGTTGAACTAAGTAAATAAATTGTTAAACCCTTGTTTCATTAATGTTCGTTCGTTATAGTACTTGTACCTGTTTAACATAAAATAACTAAAGACCCCCGGGATGGAATTTGATGAGCTTTGGCACAGATGATCATGACTATACAAACAAATGTAGTTTAAGCCGTGGCGGACGTGAGAGCAGCGTCCATACATTTTTACCCAATGTCTTTTGCCGAGCTTCCTTTAAGATATTAAAAATATTTAAACACACGTGATCAACGATATTACATCGTTATTCGTTACATCTAATGCCAAAACTGTTCTTACCTGCCTTTTGGAATCAAATTAATGCCTGAGGTGATGATATTTCCTTCTTTATTACAATACTTTGCATTGACACATATTCCACGCCTGTTGTCATCAGTATCGCACGGGACCTCTGTAACATGTGAAAATACTTTTTTGTAAATAGTTATATTTTCTTTAGATTTAAACATCAAGAAGTTACAAAATAGAAATTATAACTATAATTGCTATTTCTTCTTTCAAATGTTTAATACTTGTAAAAGTATTCATTTGACATTGTGGGTTACCTACAATGCGAAGAGATAGCGCTGCCTTGCAGCTTAAGAAAGTGCTAACTTATTTTACACGGCTTTTTTCCAACAAAGTGAAAATAAATAAAGTGATTTTTTTCATTTTACATCACTAGTCATGGCCTTATTCCATCAATAGGGAAGGCTTGTGCCCACAGAACACAGAAAGAGGTTTAGAAGGGCCTTGTAGGCGCGCCACAGTCATGTGTGAGCAAGTGCTCATAACTTGAACAAAACCTGGTTCTGATGCGTCGTTGTTCTCGGGTGTGAACACTGATTGGTTTGATGTCACGTCGTTCGATTGGGTATCATCTATTAGGTGGCGATATCAGATCCCGTACAAACGGTCTATGATCACCCTTCAAACCTCTATCTGTGTTTTGTGCTTGTGCCCCAGCAGTGGGGACATTAATATGTTGATGATGATGATGATGAAATAATATTATCACCTTTTGCAGTTGTAGTCGTCGGAGATAGTGTAGTAGTTGTTTCCGCAGCTGGAAGTAAAAAAAAAATAGCTTAAATAGAGAATATTTTTAACCGACCTCAAAAAGGAGGATGTTCTCAATTCAATATGTTTTTTTTAAATCGCTTACGAGAAGATTTCTGATCCGATTTACGTGATTCTTTCCGTTCGATACGAATTAGTTTCCATTAGGTCCAATACAAAAAAAAATTAAAAAAAAATATATAAACCCGAGTGCTTAAAAAAGAAAAAACCAAGTACAGTAGTCTATGATTCTGTTAAGTAAGGAACAAAGCTAGTTTAACAGTCGGGACCCATTACTGACAAATTGAGTCCAAATGCTCGCAAAACTCACTACGTCGTTGCTTTGTTTCATTCCGCGCGACGTTGGACACAAATTGTAAGCTAGCAAGCTTTTCGATTACATCACATAGAGAAGTAATTTCCAACAACAAAATTAAAATGCTTCCCTTTGTCGGGAAAGGTAAAGGAGCCATTTAAACAGATTTTAAGACTTCAAGTAGTAATTGTAATAGTACATTTGAGAAGTTCTTTTTAACTATGTCTTTTTTACTCATTTTTATTTGGCGTTGATCAAGTTATCTACAGTTTGTAGTTGCTTTTTCTATACTATTTAAATATTTTCTTACATTACTATAAATTTTGTTCATTTCATTTCTTAATTCTTGTGCAGTTTTATCTAAATATGCTTTATTCACTGCCTCATCGTCTTCACTTGGAGATATTAGACCCTTTAGTTTTGATGATTTTAAATCATAATGCATGTATCTGATTTCATTAAAGTATCGTTGTGATTTTCAATATATTCTGTTAATCCCAATCGCTTATGAATATGGTGACCATACTTATCTATATTCATTGCAGCTGCCCTTGATTATAATGAGCAATTTTCCTGTTGCATGTTATTTATATTTAGGATCATTTTATATCATATTCTTGATGTTAATGTCATATAAATTCACACTCTAGGCTATAATATTCAGTTCATTGGACATAGAGAGGAAGTTGAAGTTCTGCAGACAATAGGGGTGATGACGGGGTACAGTAAACGAAATTCTATTTAGTCCGTCAGTTAGATGATCAAAAAATAATGGACACGTATTTTTTCTTTGGGCAATTAACCAAAAAATGACAAATTATAGCGCGTCAAAGTTAGGGAGTAGGGGCTCGTAACGTCACTGTTAAGTGAAAATTGTACCAAAACGTGACGTCATGCGACTTTTCAAATCAATATATCTCTGCAATGTTTATATTATGTGAAAAAATAAAAAATACGTGTCCAATAGTTTTTGTCAATCTACCTGATAAACGAAGAAAAAAAATTAGTCATCATCCCTTTTTTTAATTTTTTTTTCTTTATTCCAAAAAAAAAATTTCTTTCCACAAAATTAGAACTGCTCTCATATAAGGTTACCTTGTGTTATGAGAGGCAGGCTCATCCTTATTATATAAATATAAAATTATAATAAACATGCAATTATTACACATGTTACTTGAAAACTACAAACAACCAATTAGTTTAGGTGTGTCTGTGTGTGTGTGTGTGTGTGCGTGTGCGTGTGTATGTGTATGTGTGTGTGTGTGTGTGTGTGTGCGTGTGTGCGTGTGTTATGTGTGTGGATATTTAATTATGTATAGATCTAAGACAAGCTAGTAATTGTTTGTACTAATTGTTCTAGATTGTCGTTGTTAAATTGTTCCAACCATTTTATAACTAGTTGCTTAAATTTTTTGACTTATGTTTTATACAGTCTGTGAATGACCGTAGCACTTTGTTATAAATGTACGGAGCCATGTATTTGAAGTGACGTTTTAAAAATTGTTGAGCGGGCTGCAGGAATTTTGAATCTGGGTAGTCTTCGTTTTTCTAAGGGTGTAAACGGAACAATTTTATTGTGGAATTTGCACAATGTAAGTAAAATATAAAGTTTGCGTACCGGCAGATCCTTCGCCCTTTGATACAGTAGCTCTGTTAAGAACCGATATGGCAAACCCAGGGCAACTTTCAGTACTGCCCTCTGTGTTCTTTCGAGCTGGATCATGTGCGTCTTTGCAGCACTTCCCCAAACACACATGCTGTACGTTAGTATGCATTGACACAGAGCCTTATATGCCGATGTGAGAAGTTCAAGGTCCGCTGCTATACGTAGTTGCTTAAAGGCGAAAATAAGCTTTCTAGCCTTTTCTGACTCCATATCTATGTGCTCCTTCCATTTTAGATTTTCATCTACAATAACACCCAGATACCTAATTTTATTAGCCTGAGACAGAATTGGACAATCGCAATTTAGGCTTATTTTCCGATTACACGGGAATGTGTGCAGAGTAAGAGTTAAATTATTGCCGGACTTTTAGCTTTTGTTTTACTAAAGCATAAGAATTTTGTTTTTTGTGGGTTTATCGAGAGAAGATTTTCCTCTAACCAGGCTGCAATTTCACATAGACCCAATTCTGCCACTCTCAAAACTTCTTTCCACGTCTTATCGTGAAACAAAACTACTGTGTCATCTGCAAACATAATCGTTTCTGCCCTTGGAATTTTTAATTTGCATAAGGTATTAAGATACACTAAAAAAGGTGTTGGGCCAAGGGCGGTTCACCGTAGCGACACAGAGCCGTTTCACTGTGAACCGTACCGTAGTAGTCTAGTCTAATGATTTGGCTTCGGCCTGTCAAGTAATCAGTAAACCAAGCGTGTACTATGCCTCTTACACCAAGGTGTTCAAGGCGTTTCAATAATATCGGGATTGAGACCGTGTCGAAGGCTCTCTGGAGGTCCAAAAATACTCCGACACAGCTTTCGCCCTTATCTATGTAGTCTGTAACTAATGCAGTCAGTTTGAGTATAGCATCTTCCGTTGACCTACCAGCCCGAAACCCATATTGATTTTCAGATAATATACCCACCTTGTTCATATAGCTAACAAGTCTACGATTGACAATTTTCTCAATTATTTTTGAAATTGTTGGTAAAAGGGATATTGGTCTATAGTTGGAAGGGTTACGACGATCGCCTGCTTTATATATAGGACAGACTATAGCGGTCTTAAACAAAAATGGAAAAACCCCAGTAGCAAAACTTAAATTGCAGATAAACACAATTGGTGCTATCAACAGAAGCCTGAACATTTTTAAAAAGTGAATGGTTATTTTGTCCCCTCCGCAAGCACTATTTGAATCCAATTTTCCTATAATATTATTGACTTCGTAAGGGTCTGTAGGCGTGAGAACCATCGACTGGCACGTTGTGATCGTCGCCTTTGTTCCATTCACAAGATCAGTTTCAGTACGTCCTAGTTTTTCTAATATTCCATTTGCAAGATCGCTACCTATTGTCGTAAAGTATCGGTTGACCTCGTCGAGTGATGTTGTAGGGTTATCTTTAAGTGAGAGTAATTCACAATTATAATTTTTAGTTTTTGGCACAGCTCTTTAATAACTTTCCAGGTTTCTTTATTGTTACCAGTTGACTTTTTTAATTTATTTCTATAATAACTACTTTTATCATATTTTATTACTTTATTACATATATTTCTATAGTTTCTATATTCAATTTCTAGATTTAAATCATTTGGTGATTTTCTTAGTTTTTTAAGTAATTTATTTCTCTTACGGATTGATTTTACTATTCCTATCGTAATCTACGGTTTAAGTGGCTTAGTTTTGTTAGGCAAATTAGTGATTATTGTATGTTTCTGTAATATATTCTGTATATTGGTGATTAAAAATTCTGTAGCAATATTGACGTCTGAGAAGTTATAGAATTCTTTCCAATCCAGTTCTATTATACTTTTTTCGACCTTATCATAATCGATTTTGGTTTTAACATGCGGCATAGGTTTTTCCTTCACAATGGTTTTGTCAATTTTAAGTAGTATTGGCGAATGGTCTGTAAACTGTTCAAAGACAATCGTCTGGCAAGGTAGGACGGTTTTAACCATGAAGTGGTCTAAACATGCATTTAATCTCGTTGGTTTGTATATGCCTTGTTTAAGACCATAATAAGCCATGACATTAAGGTAGTCACTTGCTGTACTATTCAAGTTATTAGGTAAAATATTAATATTAACATCACCCGTTAAAATAACATTTTTAGTTGAAATGTTCATCAGCAGATCATTAAGTGCGTGTATATAGTTTGATGGGCTTTTTGACGGTGATCTATAATATGATAGTCATATCATTGGAAATTTTAACGAGCATGCAATTCTCTTCACAGATTTCGACCTCTGAACAAGTAACAACAATATTGGTTTTTGCGTATACAACAACTCCATCATTTTGATAGTGCGTAATACGGGTAGCATATGCATCGTATCCAGCTATTTCGGGTATAATTGCATCAGCGTTAGTCCAGCACTCCGTAAGTACGATTAGAATATCTAACTCCGTCAGAAATACCAGAAGCCTATCAAGATTGCAGTATATGCTTCTGATATTTACTGATAAAATATTGATTGAATTATTTTCGCCGCCTTTGGCGAGTTAGCAAATGTACATGGTATTTGGTCTAATTTTTCTATTTCCTGATTTATGAAGTTATCTCTTGTATTCATTTAAAATAAAATATTTGTAATATGAAAAGGAGCGCGTCTTATTATAACTATGTGGTACTCGGAATATATACATCAAGAAGTAAAATTTATTTATTACATATGGCTCCAGTAAAGCTTTATTTTTTATAACATTAGCTAACTGTAGATCCGTACATTGGTTGTGTTTTATTGTACCGTGCATGAGTTGTATATGTGACTTTATGGGTAAATAGTTAATGAAAGGTTTTGTAATGGTAAAATAATGTTTGTCGTTGCTTGTTGTGTTATATTGTTTGTATGTGTGAGTTTGAGTTGTTGTGTTTAAAATAAGTTTTGTAAATAGTGGATATTGTTTGACAATTTTTACAGTATTAAATTTAAAAATTATATTAATAAATAGTATTGTCGCAGCGAAGTAGGAAATTCCAAGTAAGTAATAAATATGTTGCTGGAAACATAGTCATGCTATCAAGTT